AGAAGACTATAATAAAACAAAGATCTATGTCTTTAACATAAGCAAAACATTTTTCTGGTAGAACAAATACAAGATACTATATAACCAATTGATAAAAAAAAATGATAGAAACACAATTTTATTTCTAAGATTCACTCACGTATAACTTTTAATTACCTTTCTAATACTCAAACTGAAACTTATAGAAAATTTTCTAAAGCAGAAGTTTATTAGTAATACACAAGCCACAAAAGTAGTATGCATTTCAAAGAACAGAAACTCAACAATATATCTTCTATTTTAGCCCTTAGTAATGAAAGGAAGCTCAAGAGATGTTTCAATTTACATAGACAATAACATATATCTACCTTAAATGCAACAAATTATTAAGCCAACAATCAATTTAATAACCTTCGCCTGCATAAAGGCTCATTGATTGTTTTAAAGTTCTCTATCACTTAAAATCTAAACATGCTTTTGGAGAATAATAAAAAGCAATCGTTATAACTTTCAAGACTATCCCCTGCAACTTCCCATTAGGTTGATATCACATGCATAGTAAAAAATTTTGGGAAAAAACGGGAAACTGGCATTAAACATGAAGTGGAGGAGATTCGAGAAAATAAAGAAGTTAAGGTCAAAAATTGGTGCAGGAAAGACTGAAAAAGGGGTAAAAGCCTTTCTAGGTCCAGTAATAGGGAGTATAAGCCTCGAAATCTTTGGTGTAAAGAAGAGGGTATATATGAGGTAGAACAACAAGTAGACTTCTTAGACTCTTTAATTATGATTACTTGCACTGTGATTTTTTCGATGGTTGATAGCACCCACATTGCTGATTAATATAACTTTACCTTGCTCAAAAAAAAAAATTGTTTAGAACAATCTGAGGCATCAAAAGGAGTAAACTTGACAAAACATCATTGCATCTCTATACCAGCATAATGTAAAATTTTACACACTGAATTATAGCTAAATCACTTCAAATTATATGGATTTATATTTGATTATGTATAGAAAGTTAAACTCATGAGAACAAACAGGTAGACCGGGAAATTCAACATTCTTTAGTTCTTCTTTCAGATTCGTGAAGCATCTTGAATCAAAATTCCACATTATGAAGGATCTTCAAAAGGATCATACAATGTGCCCATGTTCTATAGTGCAGGAATTAGTAACTAGAAGAGATCTTATACTAAATAGAATAAAGTACAGGGTACAATACTTAAACAATGAAAGAAATAACTCTACATGATATGTGATTCTCATCCAAATAAGCTTCTCTTGCAATCTGTCCAACAATCTAGCAGAACATATTGATCAAATTGTGAAGGATTGGATGAGGTAAACAACTCATAAGGAGAAAACAACATAATTATAATCATTGAGAACTCATCCACTAACACTTTCAAAGAGTCTGAGCTATATGGTTAAAAACTAAAACAGATCATTTAGTCGAGAAAAGAGTCAGTTTTATTTAATAGTCGGAAATTTTTCTTTTAGTTAGCTAGCCAAACCTTAGTTATTCGTCAGAAAATTTCTGAAGTATGGACGTGCCCCTTCGTATGATTCCAGTAAATTCTCCCCAACTTCGGGTCGAGGACTGAGCTCAAACTCTTGACATGAACATCTCTAACTGTAATTATACTATTGATTTCTCAACTTGCCAAATTCATTTTACTTGAACATTAGCGATAATTTGAATATGATAGAATATAAATATATACATTATGTCTATCGTAGAAGGGATAATCAGCCATTAAATGTAATGAATAACTTGAGAAGCAAGAAGAATGCATACATATTCTTGATAGTTTGGTCAGCAGAGACTTGACATCAGATTTTTTAACCTACATGTTGAAAATGGTCAGGATCACCACAACACTATCGAAATGCCTACACATCCCCTTTGCTCTTCTTCTTCAGAATAAATATCTCTTATACACCGGAGAGTTGAGAATATCAAAGGCTAGAGGATTACTTTTCCACACATTTTTTTTACATCTATCTTTTACCTATAGATACGTCTAACTACAAAACATGTGCTAGTGTTGTTTTTCATTGCTTTTTAAGGCAATAAATAATAACTAAAGTGCTCACAGGTAAATTTATTTTCAACACCTAAAGATAGATTTGAGTTCTCAGTAATGACTTTGCAGGTTAAGAGCTTCATATAGCTGATAATGTATTTTTCTTTCTAACATCATTCATATTCATTGGAGTCAAGTTAAGCATGCATCTCTAAAGTATAGTAAAATAATTTTGAAGTTCAGAAATTTTCTTTATGAAATGCAAGTTTTGTGCCCGTCTCGTGTGAGAAATTTTGGAATAGATGTCTTAGCTCTCCAATCAAACGTTGTGAACTACAAAAAAAGAGACATCATATTCGTAAATTCAAAAATAAGAATCTTAAAACTGGAGCAAAACATTACAAAGTTGATTACGATAATAACAACATACCTAGTTGTTAGAAAATAGCATACTAAGCGGAAGCATTGCAAAATTATACATCTTGCATGAATATAAATAACAATCACAAATAGTCATCACATACAAAGTATGTTGAAAATTAACTCGGGATTACTTCACATACAAAGTATGTTGAAAATTAACTCAGAATTACCTCTTGAAGCGTGTGCAGATATCTTGAAGCATATATCTAACTCCAGATATCTTGAAGCAATCCAACTCTAGTTCTACAGTCTTCTACAGTGAATTGGGATCTCTCAATACTTGGGTGGACATGTATTGTATAGAATACTAAATTCGATCTCTTTCAAGGTCAGAAGAATCCCTACTTATACAGTTGTCTTCCTAGTCCAAAGAGAATTCCTTTTCTTTCAAGAAAAAAAAAGAACATTACAGGTTTCTTCTTCCTTTTTTTGAGAAGAACACGTTATTTTTTTTCTTTTTTCTAGAAAATAGAATTCTAAGTTGTAGTTAAATTGGGAACTGGAGAGACCACAAAATTTATTATTGAGGCCAGTGTTGTGGACGGCCAGAGGCGACAAAAGGCGACAAGGGCCTGCCTCGCCACGCGGCGAGGCAAGCGGCAGGCGCTTGCCTTTTTGAATAAAGGCGCCAATTAATACCAAAAATTAAAAATATTTAATTCCATATTTTATCCAAAATATTAATAGCAATAACACATATTAGCAAATATTCAATTCAAAAACCAATAGTAGATACTAAAATGCCTAAAACTTTAAAGACCAAACAATTCAAAATACAATAAACCAAAACTTTAAAAGTCTATTCTTATTCAAAATTATCCAACTCTTGAAGATCAAAATCCTCTACATCATTATATTGCTCTTCATCTTCTTCCTCCTCGTATTCTTCATCAATTAGTGTCCGAGTCCTACTTGAAGATGAACTTGTAGATGTACTTTCTACTCCTATGCCCTTGTCAAGTACTGTTGATCTTGAAGAAAGTCCCCTAAGATGATATATACTCTCGTTCGCTCCAATTGTCGTAGCAACACTACCCCAAGTAAGATCATCATCCTCATATACTAGTTCATCATCTTGATCTTCGGGGCATCCAACTAACCATTCATTTGAATCATCTATGTTATCCAAGCGAATTTGATCAATAAGATCACGAGCATCATAACGACGTTTCAATGTTCTATTGTACTTAATCTACACTAGATCATTGAGACGCGATAGTGTAAGCCTATTCCTCTTTTTGGAATGAATCTGTGCATAAGTTATTGATATTAACTAGTTGATATTGATAATAATATAATATGAAAAATAGAATATAAATTTTACTTATGTGTTCAAACACACTCCACTTTCGCTCACGTCCGGATGAGCTACAAGTTAGGCTTAATACTTTCATGGCAACCTTTTGCAAGTTTGGTGTTTCACTACCAAATAGTGACCACCATTCAACTATAACAAAATAAAATTTAAGGTTAGTGACTATAAATAAGTCAAATAATTTAAGTAAGATCTAAATCAACCCACTTACCCGGTGACCTTGTTTCTCTAGCTTTTTAAGTCGGACCACAACCAAATAGTCCATCCGCCATTTTGTACTTAGGAAGCTCAGCAACTAGTGCATCTTGTATTTTTGTATCATGTACCAACTTCTCAACACAGGCATAATTCTCGGTCCACAAAGTCTGTAATAGAGTTCCCTCTTCTTCAGCTTTATAATATAATCCTGGGTTCAAAATATGGCTTGCAACATGCAAAGGCTGATGGAGTTGTTCTGACCACCTTGCACCAATAATTTGAAACACTTTCTCATATTGCTTCCTAACTCCACGAAAACCATGTGCAATAGCTTCTTTGGCTCTATCCATTGCTTCATAAATATAACCCATTGGTGGTTTTTTCTCCCCATCCACCAAAGGAAGCACTTTTGTCAAAGGGCTACAAAATGTAAGTGCCCGAACAACATTATTCCAAAAGTGGACAGAAATAATAAGATTGGAAACTTCTTTTCCCAAAGTTTCCTTTGCAAATTTACTTGAATTCCATTCGGTTGAGAGGACTAAAGTTCTCAAGTTTTTTCTTTGTATGTACATAGCTCTCAAAGTTAAGAATGTCGTTGCAAATCTTGTCTTGGCCGGTTTCACCAAATTTCTTTCTTTGGTGAATTTTCTCATCAAGTTTAACAATAATGGCCTTTGACTAATGTAAGAATGGATTCTGATGGCCTTCTTAAAAACTGTTACAGAAAGATTAAATTATATTAATTAGTAGCTAATTATTGACTATAGGTTGATTACCGGAAGCATATGGCTTAACCTTGAATATGTCACCAAATATCAAGTTGATGCAATGAGAGGCACATGGAGTCCAATAAATGTGGGGATACGCACCAATCATCATACTTCCCGCTTTGACATTCTCCCTAGCATTATTGGTGACAATTTGTACAACATTTTCCGGTCCAATTCTTTCGATAGTGCTTTCAAATAACTTGTACATTTTGGTGGAATCGGTAGATTCATTGCTAGCATCAACAGAACCAAGAAATACACTAGCGATTGGAGAATTCACCAAAATATTGATGATCATTTTGCCATTTCGTGCCGTCCATTTGTCCATCATAATGGAACATCCAAACTTTGTTCATTTCACTTTATGCTCATCAACAATTTTTTCTACTTTATCCACCTTTTTTTTAAGGTGAGTGACTCTAACTTCATGGAATGTAGGAGGGTTCATTCCGGGGCCATGTTGTCCAACCGCCTCAATAAATTTATCGAATGATTTGTGATTGACGCAATTAAAAGGGAGCCCGACATTATACATCCAAATTGCAAAAGCACTTACCGCACGCTCTCTTAGAATTTTCTTTGTTTCTTCGATTCCTCCTCCTTTTTCTAAGCCTCCTTTTTGTGTTGATTTTTGTGAAAAATAGAGGTTCAATGGTCCTTTCGTCACACTCCGTGCGTTGGATGAACCTCCACTAGAAGATATCTTTTGAGTTTTGGAGGGAGGCATCATTTTCGCATAATCATCCATTTCATCAAGATAATCAATATCAACAAATTAATCCGGCTGCCCCACTTGAAATTTGGGATTATTAGCTATTTTGTTTTGCATATAAGCCCTTACTTCTTCTCTAATCTCCGACGGAAAAGCGACACATTGTTTAACATTCTTGAAACGACCCACTAAATGTTGTTTGTGTCGAGTTATTCCACCATTGAAAGTACTCCCACAAAAGTTACAGTTAACCGAATCTTTCGTCGCTCCATGAGTGCCATAATTCCATCCAATATCCCTCATTTTGCTAGCATCCGCCATTGATTATTAAATTCAATTAATTCGCTGTTTAGGAATATTGGAATAAATAATTAGGAAAATGGAAAGTTTTTTTTTGAATAATTGCCTATAATTTTAAAAAAAGTTTACACAAAGGCCAAACTGCCAAAGCAGTAAGCAACTAAGCACAACTTACAGCCTAAAAAAACACCACTGGAAAAAAAAATGAAGAAGAAGAGCAGAAAAATTGTTGAAGAAGAAGAGAGAAAACGACATACCTGGAGAAGTGAGAACAAAGAGTCGTGAGGGTTGAAGGGAACACAATCATGAGCCGGCGGTCGGCGAGGGAGAAGGTGAGCAAAATCCAACAGTAAGGGAGAACTGTAGAGAGGCTCGGGATGTAGAAGCCGAGAAGCCGACAGTGATGGAGAGCGAGGGAGAAGAGACAGCGATGGAGGAGAAGAGAACTGGAGAGAGAGAGTCGCGATGGAGTTTCAAAAATTTCAAAAATAAAAAAAAACCTTAATTTTGACTAATATTATTAAGTCAAATATTTTTAATTAAAAAGGCGGAGCCTTTTTTGTCGCCATTGTAGCGCTACTCCTCTCCTTTTTGCTATCACCGCGCCTTGGCAGAGAATGGCGAGGTTCCATCGTCTCGCCTCTCGCCAAAGGCGAGGGGGTGCTTGCCTTTTGTAACACTAATTGAGGCTCCCTATTATTGTAATAATTCTAAATAATTAATTTGAATTATTCTTACCATAACAAATTACAAATCATTCCACTAAAAATTCGTAATTTCACTCCTCTATTTATTTTGAAATTCACCATTAAACACTTATGTAATTCCCCATGTTAAGATTACCGATACTAATTAATAAATTAAATTACTGACGAATTTAATTCAATTATTAACTTATTTTTGAGCAATGCTTAACTTATTTCATGTGTCAGATTCATAAATATACCGATGGGTTTACACATGAAAACTTATAAGCATTTCATAAAAGGTGTATCATCAATCTCTAAACTGAGACATGGATTGCATCAACTAACTAAATATTTCACCAATATATATTATTATCATCCAATCTACCAGTCATATTGACCCATGTCAGAATCTCAACTTTTAATAAATCAAAATGATAATTAATATATACAAATCATAATCGTTATATCAAGATTAAGAATATAAGTACATTTAATAGTTTAGAGAATATATTTTTATCAGTCAGTCTAAAACAACTATCTCTTCTTGGTCCCGTTCAATATATACCAAATGCACTAGCACGAGAAGTTAGAACTATGTCATTCTCATAATCAAGATAAATTACATTTAATCTCGTGCTACAATCTATCTGGTGGTTTTGTCCAATCAAAATAAATTTTCATCTATGATTGTGAACAATAAATTTTAACTTAGAAGAACCGATGATTTAGTCTTTTTTGTATAAACTTAAACTCTATACCAAATCATCTACTATATAAGTTAAGGACACATATATGACAATTGACCTATTTAATGTAACACTTTATTGAAATGAATAAATGAATAAATAATTATTCAATATTAATACTATATCAAAAAACATGGTTAATAGTATATCCTAACAATCTCTTACTTAGACTCATAACCATGTACCTACAACGCTAACACCCATTCCTTCAACATGCCTATCAGAAGACTTTTGTGGTAAAGCTTTTGTGAAAAAGTCTGCAAGGTTGTTCTCTGATGCAATCTTTGCCACCATCACATCCCCTCTCTGTACTATGTCTCGAATCAAATGGTATTTTCTCTCAATGTGTTTTGCCTTCTTATGAGTACGTGGTTCCTTTGAATTTACAACCGCTCCACTATTATCATAAAACATTGTAAGTGGCATTTCTAATGTAGTTACAACCGCCAAGTCTTTCAGAAAGTTTCTGAGTCACACTGCCTCCTTAGCTGCTTCAAAAGTTGCTACATATTCGGCTTCCATGGTAGAATTAGCAACACATGTTTGCTTCTACTTCTCCAAACAATGGCTCCACCTCCCAACGTAAACACATTCCCTTGAGGTCGACTTTCTAGAGTCCACATCAGACAGGAAATTTGAGTTTGTGTACCCTATGGGCACCAACTCATCCGAATGAATTACTATCATGCAATCCCTAATCCTTTTCAGGTGCTTGATTATATGCTTAACTACTGTCCAATGTTCTCGTCCAGGATTAGACTGATATCTTCTAACCATTCCTACGACAAAACAAATGTCAGGTCTAGTGCATAACATGGCATACATGAGACTTCTTACTACTGATGCATAAGGAATTCTTTTCATGCTTTCTGTTTCCTCACCTGTCTTAGGACATTGATCCTTAGATAAAGAAATTCCATTGTCTAAAAGGAAGAAATCCTTTCTTGGAATCGTGCATGCTAAACCTGGTAAGAATTGTATCAATATAAAGAGCTTGAGATAAACCTAACATCCTTTTCTTGCGATCATGTAGAACCTTGATCCCAAGGATGTGAGCAACTTCTCCCAAATCCTTCATATCAAAGTTTGTGCACTACCATTCCTTAACTGAATTCATCAAGCCCACATTATTTCCTATGAGAAAGATATCATCTACATATAATACCAAAAACACCACTTTATCCCCATTCCACTTTTTCTACACACAAGACTCATCAAGACATTGCTCAAAACCAAAAGACTTGACTGCATTGTCAAATCAAGTGTTCCATGCCCTAGAAGCTTGGTTTAATCCATAAATAGATCTTTTAAGCTTGCACAACATGTGTTCCTTTCTTTTTTCTATGAAATTGTCTGGTTATCGCATAAATATGTTTTCATCAAGACTTCCACTAAGGAAAGCAGTCTTGACATCCATTTGCCAAATTTCATAATCATAATGAGCAACAATGAATAAGAAAATTCTAATAGACTTAAGCATGACTACTGGTGAAAAAGTTACCTCATCGTTGATCCCTTCTTTCTGAGTAAACCCTTTTGCAACAAGTGTAGCTTTGTAAGTTTGCACTTGTCCATCTACTCCTCTCTTTTTCTTTTATATCCACTTGCATCCAATGGGTTTGATTCCATCTACAAGTGGTTCTACAAGATACCAAACTTTGTTAGAGTACATAGACTCCATTTCTCATTTCATGGCAACAATCCATTTTTTTGCATCTTATCTTGTAGTCCTTCGTCGTAATTCACGGGTTCGGTATTCCACTCTTAAGGGATTCTGTCAAAAAACTCTCCAAGAGTGCATACCGAAATGGTTTTATTATCACTCTCCCACTATGACGAGACACTACAGTTGAAGGGGCAGGTTCAGAGAGATTTTCATTATTATGATCTTGTGGTGGAACCACATCATTTTTTGTATCTTGAGTTTCCATGTTATCTTCAGCACCTTGTGGTGTAGATATATCAACTTCTTCTTCCTCTAATACAATCAACTCACTATTACTCCCACTATCTTGATGCAATGAATTTTCAAAATCTTGTACTTGTGGAATTTTATGTTTTTTTAACATCTCTCCCACTATTATAATGCAATGGTATGTTAACTCTAACATGTGGGGTCTGAATTTGATTTTCATTATTTTGAGTTGATTAAATTGTTATCTCTTTTCTCAAATCTTGTAAAACAAGTTTACTTCTAGGAATATGGTTTGTTAAAAAATCTGTTTCCACAAACTTGGCATTGGTAGTCACAATGACCTTCTTTTCTTTAGGATTATAAAACATACCACCTTTCGTTCCTTTAGGGTATCTAATAAAAACACATATTTTTGTTTTAGGTTCCAATTTTTTTGCCTTCCCTTTCAATACATGTGTTGGACATCCCCTAACCCGAATGTCTCACATTAGGTTTGTGCCCAGTCCACAGTTCAATGGGTGTTAAAGGAACAGATTTAGAAGGAACTAATTTCAGAATGTAATCTGCAGTTTCTAAGGCATATCCCAAAAATGAATAAGGCAAATACGATTAACTCATTATTGATCTAACCATTTCTAAAAGAGTTCTACTTTTTCTTTCTGTTACACCATTTTGTTGTGGCGTTCTAGGTGCAGACATTTGAGATGTAATTTCTTGTTCTGATAAGTAACTGATAAACTCATTAGAGAGGTATTTGCCACCATGATCAGATCGTAATGAGTTGATATATATTCCATGTCTTTTCTCCGTTTCAGCTTTACACTCTTTGAATTTCTCAAAGCATTCATACTTACGACGTAACAAATATATATACCCATATTTTGAGTAGTCATCAATGAAAGTCACAAAGTATTCATACCCACCTCTCGCTTGAATGTTCATTGGGCCACACAAATAAGAATGAATTAACTATAGTTTATCATTGACTCTATTTCCTTTTGAGAGAAAATGTCTCTTAGTCATTTTTCCTTCTAAACAAGATTCACATGTTTGTAGTGCCTCCACTTTTAATGAATTTAAGGTCCATCTCGAACCAACCTTCAAATCCTATCTAGATTTATATGACATAGACGCAAGTGCCATAAATAAATCTCATTAAAATCAGAAGAACATTTTCTTTTACTTGAAAGATTAACATTATTCAGTTTTATGGTTTGTTGTAATTCAGGAGAGATATTAATAATAAAAAAACCATCATCAATCAATGCACCAGCAAAGACAAGATGTTTATTATAGGTAATAACATAACTGTTATCAGAAAAACTATCATCATAACCATCTCTCACAAGTTTAGTAACTGAAATTAAATTTCTTCTAACAGCAGGTGCATATAGAATGTCTTTTAAAATTAAAACTCTACCACCATCAAACAAAAATTAATATTTCCTAATGCTAAAACTGGAGCTGATGAGCTATCCTGTTGATAAAACGCTAACTTCACCTCTAATCAGCTTGCGCGTTTCTTGAAACCCCTGCAAAGTTATGCAAATATGATCACTGGCTCCTGAACCTACACATCATGAAGTGATAGAAACAGTCGCTAAAAATATTTCAATGACAAGTGAAAGTGAGTTATCTGGTTTGTTTTTCTTCTTGGCTAAGAAATCTAGACAATGTGCCTTCTAATGGCCTGACATCTTGCAATGAAAACACTTGCCCTTTGACTTTTTCACGCCTCCAGTTGGACGTGCAATTGTCTTAGCTCTGTGAGCCTTCTTCTTCTTCTTCTGTCCACCTTGCGATTTAGAAGTAGAACTTTTCTCATCTTTTTCATATTATAATTTAGGAAAAATTGTTGAAAACTGTCATGCAGAGACTGCAATATCATCTCAACTTGGGAGTCATTGTCAATTTCAGCCCCCAAGACCTCTAGTTCATTCAAAAGACCTATCATCTTCACAACATGGTCTCTTACAAGGGTGTCTTCAACCATCTTAGTGTTCATGAGAGTTCTCACGGCAGTCTGCTTAGCTGATCGACTCTGGTCTCCAAACATTTGTTGAAATTCTCCAAAATTTCAAAAGCACACAACATAGCTTGATTTTGATGTTGCAAAACATTTGACATTGAAGCCATAATATAACATCGCGCCATCTCATCAGCTTTGCACCATTTCTGATAAGTTAATTTATCCTCATCACTAGATTGATCATTTGGTTTCAATGGATATTTCTCATGAAGCACAAACTTATATTTTTCAACGGTTAACACAATGTTGAGATTTCTCCCCCAGTCAACATAATTAGAACCCTCTAGTTTGTTTTGACCCAAAATAGTACTAATGGATTAAAAGGAGACATGTTGAATTTCAGATTTGAAGAATTTTTTACAATAGATCAATAATATAATCATATAACATTGAATATTTACATTCAAACTCATGA